AGCGAGTCAATGAAGCTGTCTGCGGAATATGTGGATGGTGACCGATAGATACCAATGATGGTAAAACTAGGTATTGTAATTTGCAAAGCAGAGGCATGTGTCAGATTAATTTCAGTAACCTGGGGCATATGGCAGTTTCTCACATAGGCGACCACTCCGTCATTTTGGTTTAACTGTCTGCACGTATTAAACGCGGTATAATTGTTTAACTCCGGTATTTGTTTGTTAGCGTTTAACCTACACTCAGTCAAAACCAGAACATCCACTTCGATTTCAATTTGAGACATTGTTATTTGAAGATCGTCAAAATTACCGTAAATGCTCCTTATATTTTGAGTCAAGACGGTCAGGTTATGATTATTATGGAGTACGTAAGTGTTAAAGCGTTCGATATCAAGTATAGCAGAGTTAGCAATGTCAACAGAATCCAATTCCCTTAAGTTGTGTAGGTTGTTATCCATTTTTAATTAGAGTAAACGATTTAGGTTTCTCAAGTTTTGAGCCGAAGCATAATAGTCGTATGACGTCTGCCCTCATATGATTTTCAACTAATATTGCACATGCATATTTGTTTATATATGAATTAATAGCTATAATAGGCACTAAATAGATTAGGTTTGTGTGTATTGAGTGAGAAAGTTTTGTGTTATGTGGATTTAGAGTGTAGTGTATCGTGTATAAATTTGTGTTTGAATGTGTATAATAGAGCCAAACATAGTTAAAGTAACTATAATTGGAAGCAGAGCTACACAATTCAGGGAAAAAATTTTTGAGAAGACTATTAGATAGTAATAAAGCTAATCGTATAAAAATAATTTTGTGGTAATTACAGATTAGTCATGCTTCTTGCATCAAATGGTGTACCTGGGCCTCACTTCTTATAACAATTGTTCGGGTGTTTTCATCCTTCCTGACCAAAATACGCCCAAAAGCAGTCCAGCAAAATTTGTACTGCTTAGTTTTGGCCAAGTCTCGAGCCAAGAAAAATAGTCGGGCGTTCTTAGGAGTCAATTGTTCTGATATAGAAACTGGAACCTCAGCATCACTCTTAATCCCGAGGTGTTTTGCCTGAAGTTTGTTCGTGTTTTTAATATTAAAAATCTTTGCCTTCTTCAATAAATTCGTTTTTAACAACGTGGAGTTTAGTTCAACAACTATGGGCGTGTTCGTTTTGCCCTCTTTCTTACTAGGTAAACGGTAAATGTCTTTGACGTCACGTGAGACAATCTCAATGCTTAAGTGTTTTCCCAGATTCGTGACCATATTTACCAAGTCATCGTTATTCTCTTGAGGCTTTTTAGGGACGTTTTTTATTTCGATGCAGGTTTTTCTATTAATTCTTTGCATATCTTCAATCTTATCCTCCAGTATCGCAATGTACTCGCGGTCCTTTCTTCCTTGCAACTCAAGAGATTCTATTTTCTTCCGAAACTCATCGTTTTGTTTAGATAGATGAGTGATGGCAGTTTCGATGTTGTAGTTTGATGTCTGGATATCCTTAATAATTTTTAATTCACTTTGTTGAGTTGAGATAAACGAAGATAGCATTTCCCTAATTTCTTGTCTAAATTTAGAGAACTCCTCTGGTAAATTCTCTTCTCTTAGTCTTTTGTTGCGCGTAGATGTAAAATTAGGTGGGGTCGTGTCCACTGTTGCGCTGATATTTGTATCAGAGACGGATTTTTCCATTTTGATTATTTATTTATTTTGTATTATAGCAGCGTTTAACATAGAGCGCCTGTATGGCCACTTGGTATAATTGTTGTTTTTGTTTGAAATGTTGCTATCACTATTCCGTTAGGCACTTCAACTTTATTATTTATTTATTACTTTTTACTACCGTGATTTCGTAGATACCTCCCGCACCTTTTCCTAGTGTTGTTATTTTGCACACACCGTCTATTGCGATCACCGATATCAATATTCAAAGAGCATTTATCAACAATCACAAAAAGTAAATACAGGTTGCGGGGTTTGAAGCTGAGACTCCTTGTGTAGCGTTTCGCAAGGAGCCGTCTTATATTACTGGACCACCGGCTCGATATTAATGATGACAAATTAAATGTTCTGGTGCAGCATCATGAGATAATTTAAGCGTGTCAGTTAGCCAGCAATCGAAGGTCACTTCGATACAGAGACAAAGAAACTTACAACGATCACTTTTAAAACTGCTGTTATGATTTTGTTGAAATCTCCGGTAATAGTTTGTACACAGATCTAGATTTTGCACAGTTTTTTTTAATGTTTAATTGCACACGTATTGATGTAACTTTTAAGATGGAAATTTCACTTTAGATTACTTTTATGAATTAAAATGATCGCGATCACAAAACACACGTCCACTCAACTCGGCGTCTTTGGGGGAGCTGATTGTCGATTACATAATTCGAAAACAGAATTCAAATATTTGTAAAATACGTAATTGTTGAATAATTCTGAAAATTGACTAGGAATTTCAAGCGTTCCTTCAATGATAGATCTATCTATTACAGGTTTTATCTTCCAGTGAAACGTTCTGGGCCTTTGGTATTATCCGATACATCTGCTGAACTTAAAAATAAAATCAGTCTACAGTATAGACACAACAAAATATATCTTGTCTTTTAGAAGACATTTACTTTACAAATATTTATTTGATTTATATATACTAATCTGTCAAGAAAGTACCGGGAAAAAGTCAATAATACACAAAATGTTTGTTATTCATCTAAATTTATTTTATCACCTTCAAAGTATGCTCCTTCAGAAACGATACACTTACGCCAACGAATAATGCAATCATCGAAACTTTTTTTAAACGCTGTTTCCAGAATTGAGTTCAGTGCTCGCCGCGAATTCTCCTTTATGTCTTCTAACGATTGAAAACGGGTGCCACGAAGGGGTAATTTGAGTGTGGGAAAAAGAAACAAGTCGGCTGGAGCCATATCTGGTGAATATGGTGGCTGCTCGATGGTGTTTGTTGAGTGTTTGGACAAAAAATCGTTTACAATGATGGCCTTGTGCGAAGGCGCATTTTCTTTCCACATTTCTGGCCTTTTTCGTCGAATTTGTTCTCTTAAACGCCGCATAACGCTCAAATAATATTCTTTATTTACCGTTTGACCTTCGGGCAAGAATTCTGAGTGCACAACACCGCGATAGTCAAAGAAAACAGTCAACATGACTTTGACTTTTGATCGACTTTGACGTGGTTTTTTCGGTTTTGGTTCAGTTGGAAGGCGCCATTCCGAAGCTTGTTGACTAGTTTGCATGTCAAACTCGTAAACCCACGTCTCGTCACCAGTAACAATGCGTTTCATGAATGTTGGGTCGGTATTGACTCGTTCTAGCATGTCCTCAGCGACTTTCATGCGATTTAGTTTTTGAAGAAAATTCAGGTCTTTTGGGACTAGCCGAGCGGCAACACGTTTCATACCCAAATTATTTGTTAAAATGGTACGGATCGACTCGTGAGATATAGAAAGTTCGGCGGCCATCTCTCTCAAACTTGAATGAGGATTTTCAGTCACTATTTCCTTCACTTTTGCGATGTTAACTTCAGTTGCAGACGTTGATGGCCTACCAGAACGAGGCAAATCTTCCATCACATCTCGACCGCTTTTGAACGCTTTGTTCCACTCATAAGCACGTGTGTTTGATAAAGTCGATTCACCGTAAGCCTTCTGTAACATTTTGAGTGCCTCCCAACACGAAATATCATTGGCGATGCAAAATTTAAGACAAACTCTTTGTTCGATGTTTTTGTCCATTATGAAATTCGCAATACACACGAGATATTATAAAACTAAAAACAGCACTGTTTTTAATATAAATAACATATGCAATTCAAATTCCGCGCCAAAATGGAAAACAGTTATGCCAATCTAACAACAACAAAAAAAAAAAAAATCGAATTTGGAACCATAAAAAAAACATTCATTCCCGATACTTTGTTGACTGAATGTATATTGATTTATTTATACAAATCGAGGTAAACTAGTAATTAGCATAGAGTTAAAATGTTACTTACAAAATCACCTGGACAGCCAGCAATGCCTTGAGAATTCAGATTTCACAAATGTAGTATTATTTATTAGCATAGTTTTATATAAGTCGACCGATATTGATACATAATAAAACCAACTTAATAATGCAATAAAGAATCTGTTGAGAGTTTCTTCCTCGTTCTTCTCCATCGGCATCTACACGTTGGAATTGGAACGATCGACGACGACTGACACGTTTTATCTTTAAGATTTGTTTGACGTTCAAAAGTTACTGTGAGGATTTATTTGCTTTATAAGGATTTATTTCAATAAGGTTGAATTCGAATTTTCACTAGAAGTTACCCGACAATCGTTTATTGTCTTGATACAACTTTATGGGACGATGCCACTCGACATTTCCCTTATTCACATTGGTAAATCATCAAAGTTTACTAGAGCGTAACATTTCGGGCGACACATCAATTCCTTGTAGAGCGTCAGTCTCGGGATAAACGTCCCCTAATGAAAGTTTCTTGTCTTAATCTTTTTTTTTATGACCTTCATTAAGTTCTATGTTATTTAGTTCCTTCTCAAAAGCCGACAACACGCTTGAGACACCTCTGTTGTTGCAGGTGTCCATGAGCGGCTCTGATCACTTACCACCAGGTGATCCATACGCTCGGTTGCCTCCTATTCCTTAAAATAATAAGTACTCAGAGATCCCAGTAACTGATTGGGTACCAGATATAGGTGTTTTGTTGTATAGATTGAACAAGACTCTGGGAAACTGGGAATTTTATGATTATATTAATCCTACACATTTAAATAGTTCACTACAAGCATCAATCATAGGACATTTTTTTAAATGTTGCTCTCGTTAGGATTTGATCCTGTATTGTGATGCGTTTACAAACTTACAACATCCTCAAACCCGGCAAAAGAATTTGTGGATCACACAGAATCGTTCCGTGTGGAAGCCGAATAAACGCCACAAACCCAACCGTAAATTAAGCTTTGAAGTAAAGAAAAAGAAAACTTTTTTGAAAAATTTATTACAGTTGTACAAATAGACGTAAAACTAATAATACAAAAGGACCATGCGGTCGAGTCGAATGTATTTTAGGAAGAATTCTAAATAAATATCTTATTCACTACATTTTACAAATACTAAGATAGAAGAAATAAAGTCCAGTCTACAGCATTAATAATACAAACACGTGGGTATTGTTCTTAACAATTTAAATTACTGTAATTTCCTTAAAAATTGTTATTGGTTCAGCCACCAATTTCATTAGCACCAATATTCTTGAAGTAGTACAATAAGTTGATGTTATCAAAAGCCTTACCCTGTTCACAAAATACACTTAATGCAGACATTTTACATTCATTGAAATGTTTTTCGTGTAAATTGTTGTTATTCTTGTTTTCTTACAAATTGATGGGCTCAAGTCGAAGAGCACCATTTTCGTAAAAACTTTTGAAGTTGTTTTGTCTATCAATAGACCAATTTTAATGTCTCACTGTATTTCTGTCTTAAACCTAGGATTAGCTTAGTTATCTATTTCTTAGTCTACAATCCAGTCGTCGTATGGAATCTTCTGGAACACGTTGTCGAGGAAGCGTGACATCTTCTCTGCCAAGTCTCGTTTCAACTCTGGCTTCATCTCCTTTAGCAACTCTTGGGCGTTCGTGTTTATAAACAGGTTCAGGGCAGCCTCTGTTCACATTGAAATTTCAAAGTTTAATTATAAGGATTGTAACTTTGTCAGTGATAGTTTGAATGCATTAAATTTACGTACACAAGTTTGTATTGCCTGAAGAAGGTCAATAATGTAGGAACATACTACTTAGAAAGGTCTGAGGGCCTACCATGAAGTGTTGTACCACGTCTGCTGTTTTGTACACTTAGAAAGCAAAGAATAAGTAGTGTTTGATTTTGATTCATGTTACACTACCAGAAAACTTGCACGACAAAAATATTTATGAAATATTTGGAAGCAATTCTTTGGAAAATAATCTCTACTCTTTTGAAGTTGTCGTTAGATATTTGAATCCATATATGTGCTCAGGTAAATATTCCTGAATGTTATGTTATTTGCGTACCGATATTTGCTAATCTTTGTAAATGCACACCCCAAGTTATTGGTCACTGAACCAAACGTTACAGAAAACCTCAAGTCCATAATAGTGATGATTAAACACATAGTACTAACCTAATACAGCGTTGCTATTCTGCAAGTTCTCGACGCCCATCTGAATGTCCTTAACGGAGAAGTCCAGTTTGAGCTGCTGCAGCTTGAGGTAGGTACGACCGTTGCGTGTGTAAGGCTCTCCACGGAAATATACTTTAGCTTTCACACCATCTGCCAAATTATTAAGGACATTGGTAATGATGGAATTTTTTGATAGTAACACATATCGTAAGACATCCAATTTTTTTTGAAATTTACGACATTTTCCCGTCGCTGTGACGTCGTGCAGCTAAGTGTTGGCTGAGCGACGCAAAGAGACGCGACATCGCCGCTTGAAACTTGTAAAGATTTTCTCAGTTCATTCATGTGAGTAAATCGTTATATTCAATAAATTTAAGTAAAATGGTATTGGTTATCTAGGCTTATAGGAATACATACACGATTTTGTTTTACTGGCATTAGATTGCAAAAAAGTTGTTCACTTTATTCTCAATACTTTCTTTGTCCTTTGAAAAGTTCTGACTAAAGTCTTTGGAAAGGTTTGTAGATATTTCGTATATTTCAAAGTCAAAGTCAAGTCAAGTCAAATTATTAATATCAATAATAGTCACTTTTTCAAAAGTCAAACAAACATTAAAAAATAATAACAAAATGTCAATTTGTCGGTCAGTCCTCTAATAAGAACTACTTGTTTGAGTATTGTAAAATCTGCATCTATAATCGTACGTAACAAAATATTATTGACAAACGGCAATTATAAAGATGAAGCGTATGTATTTGTGTATAACTGACCATATTCTCCCCAGTACTCGCCACCACCAGACGCGCGTACCAGCAGCAGCACGCCGGAAGAACGGTAACGTGCGCGTGCGCTGATGTGGGGCCCGAATAGTGTCAGCTGGAATTGATGCGTTTCGAGGTCCGACCTGTTAAACAATTCGAAAAACATATTTAGACAATACAAACTTAGAGCTAGAAAATAATAGGCAGAAAACCAACCACAGCGTTGTGTTTCGCCGAGTGAGTGAGGTTACGGAATCCCAATCCTTCCCCTCCCCTAATCCTTCCTCAATCCCTAAATCTCCAAAGCCCTAATCCCTATAAGGTCGGCAACGCACTCGTAACTACTGAGTAGTTACCTTACTTACTTTTACTTACCATCAGGTAATCCGTCTGCTCGTTTGCCGATCTATTACATTAAAAAAACCATGCATATAAAACTATTGGCTATTCTCGCGTGGTTTACTCGCTGCTCAACTTCTGATCGTAGCGTGTTGGCTTCTTCGATAACTCAATACTTAAAAAGATTGGTGGATGAAAAACCAAGGATATACAAGGAGGCAGGCATCCTACATTTATGATTACTTACGTAGAAATATGTATTTACAAAAACAATTAATGTTAATACAAACGATGTTTTATGCGCTTGCTTATTCTATTTGTCTGGCGAATATCTTTCCGTATTGATTTTCATAAACAAACTAACTGTATTTGCAGATGAAATTAATTATCTGTTCTTTCTAGCATAATAAACATCTTAGGCAAGAGATAATTCAATCGAGGTTGCGGGGTAAGTGCATTAAGGCACCGCGGTTTCGGCCTAGAGCAGGAGTAGTAACGGGGGATTTTAGTCAGTAACACCCGGTTTCTGAAAGGCTTGTCAACGCTTAAATTAACTAATCTCCTGTTAAATCTCTTGTCAAGTCATCTGATTGGTTGTTGATAATTCAGTCAACCAATCAGATGACTTGACAAGAGATTAAATTGATTTTAACATTGATCGGCCTTTCGGAAACCGGGTGTAAGAGTCTGACATCCTCTCGCTGGAGAAGTCATTTGATGATTTTCCCCTGACAAAAAAGGTAGGTGATATTAAAATACAGCTTTAAGAAAAACAATAAAACTGAAAGTAAGTTGATGAATGGAAATATCAATTAATCAAATAATAAAATTAATGACAAAAAGTTTCCCTACTACCTACCTGTGTAGAAGTTTTGGCAGCTCATAAGGATAAATTCTCGAATTTATGCAGTAGTTTCATAAAATAACATTTTTAATACTATAATTTGACCCTGGATGATATTGGCTTCATAAAGTCCACTAAACCCTTAATTTTATTTCAAATTTATATTTTCGAAGCCTTGAATGCTTTATAAGAATATGTACAGTTTGCAGCGCGTCTTCGCATGCGTATAAAGGTAATGTATCCCAGGACATTAAAAACAACAGTTTTTAAAGCGATAGCTCGAATAAAATATTATTAATTTAGATAGAGCTGATAGCACTTAGGAACATTGTATCTATCGATCAGTGAAAGAATTTTGGAAATCCGACCAGCGGTACCAAAGATTACCCCCTACATACAAACCTCTTCATAATATTAGTATAAAATTTTAAGTTAGGAGAAAGACCTTTGCAGTATTTTAACAAGGTAATACATGTTGTTTGTGCAGTGAGTCGTCAACTCTTTGTTCCCTACGACCCCGTCTCTAACTAATATGGACATCGGACATTTCTTTCCACGTGAACAGAATAAATTAAGTTCCTATTTTCATATCTAAATATTATAAAATCGCCTTATTTGCTAGAGGTAGTAAAGAACGGTAATCTAATTTGTTCGACAAGTTTATTTTTACGACTTTAGGTTTGTTTGAATTTGTATTACTCATTGTTGATGATGAGTTGTGGAACATTCTAGAGTCACACCGAACTGATGGAGAAGAATAATTTTCTTTGTCCAAAGTAAGTATAAGAAAGAACATTGAAAGGAAAAGTGTGTAATCTTTAAATCATGATTAATAATGTCTTGGGAAAGGTTAACGAAACTGATAAAAATTCAGCCAAGAATAACAATTAGGAAGAGATAGATGCACATATTTCACACTGCAACAATAGTGTTGCAAAAACACAAAATAATTAGTATAATTACTTATGGTCTTTGTTGCGTTTTTCATGTGGGAACGGTTGTTATGTAAGGAGGAAAATGACTTTGCACTACTATGTTATATGAATGTCCAACCTTTTTATTGGTACTTTAGCTAAATATTAAGATTGTAGTTGCTTTGAAGCGAGGAATTCATAAGTTCTGTGTCGGTCGTACGTGCCAATACATAAGTACAAACTTAGCCTCAGAACAAAGAAGAAGGCTATGTAAATATGTTCAGTTCTTGAGTTGGTGTTGACTGTTGAGATAGCGGTAGAATTTCTCGCTTGTTTTCATTGATTTAATTTTATGATCAGTTCAACATCTTTTGCGGTTAATGACATAAATATTATTGGAACTAGATTTTTTGGTGCATGTAACAGGAGTTTGTTCGTTTTAGCTGTTTTACCTTCACAAGATGTCGAACACACGGCTAACTAGAGCAAATAGTTGGTGTTGAAAATAGTAGTTTTACGAACAGTAAAATTACTATTGGACAATATAGCTGTTAGCTGACAAAGACCTCGGAGCGAGAGGAACTGGGGAGCCGTCTCCTCTTTCTGCGAAGCAGTTAAGCTTGCAAAGGAGGCGGAGAGCGTGAGGGAGATCTTCCTCACGACTCAGTAGCCGCTGTAGTACTTTTTATGAAATTACAAAACGTTCGATATATTATTGTTAATCTCAAAATTTCTCTTAATATTTCTCTTGCCTTACCTCACATTGGTGATGGTCATGTTAGAAGCTCCTATAGCTTGGATGTCCTTGAAGCTAGCCCGGTAGCCATCAGGCCCTCCACCCAGCGCGATGGACAGCTCATCTATTACAATAGGCTCCGCCTGGAAACATCATTCCTAATTTTAGTAAGGCCTTTGACCAGTCGGTGACAATACAAGGAATGTAATTATATCATTAAGTTTGTTTACTTATTTATTTATTATTAGGTAGGCTCACAGCTTATGTATACAAAGTGGTTTAAAGTATTGGTTATAGGCAGTAGGTTATGTACATTAGCCAGTTACGAGCTAACCAACATTCTAAAAATTATGCGTTTATACAGTCAAAATATATAAAAATTAAAATTAGAACCAATTAACGTAGGTAGGAAAACAGTATTAATCATATTAAAGTATTAACTAAATAAAATTAAAATTAAAATTTGATATGGGCTACCATTTATGCTACATGAATGTATAATGAAGTTATTATTTTAGACATTTTAGATAGGAGGAGTTACTAGAAATTATCATTTGTTAAAATAACTTGAGCTCTATCAGTTTCAAGCCACTCTGGTAGCCGTTATTTTTATTTGTTTTAATGTAAATTAAAATAAAGCTAATAAATATGTATACCTCTTCGATTCCCAGCTCAGGAGCACCTCCTTTCATGTATTCGATGAATGAGTTGAAGCTGCGGAGCAAGCAGGCGTCCACATTTGGATCTCGTCGCGAGCATCGGCCGCCGAATATGTCTGTGTAAAGATAGTCCAAATATAGCACTTAACAATAAGCTTTATTGTAAATATGGGTAAAATTGCTACATACAGATTCGGAAAAAAAAGGGTCGAAATTGTTAACTGCAAAAATGCTAATGCTCAAATTTGGGGAAAAGTTTTTAGTAAACTTAGTTGAGAAGATATTCGAGCGAGTCACCGATGTATAAAAACGGAACACATAAAGAACATTCCTTAAGCTATGTTTCACGTTATTTTTTTAGTCAGCTGTTATGTTGATTAGCTTTCGATAGCGTAGATATTATAAATATGGTTACATTACTTAGTATGCTGTTGGCATCGTCTAACGGTAGGCAGGCATTGACTTGGTGAAAACAATAGAGTCTTATAGATACACAATGTGAATTTCTGCGAAGCCCTAGAAGCAATGGTGAGGTTAACCATGTTTTAGTTAGGAACTGGATTCTCAGAGAGGGCTCTTTGTTTTGATTTTCGAAATCCGACCAAAGCTACTCAAGCTGCAAAGAGTTTTAAAGATCTAAATAGGTTAAAGATAGTGTTTGTTATAATGGGTGAGAGTTTGAGACTGATCATTCTGTAGACAGAGGAGATCGGCAAATTGAAATCGGAAACAAATTGCTTCGATTTTCAAAACTTTATAATGATAGAAAATATTTCTGTACACGACAGACAGAAGAAAACAAACGAATTTGAATCATTGATTGCCTGTTCTAAATTTCCTATTAACTGACCTGGCACCTTTATAAAACTACGATTTGTTCATTGAGCACATTTTATCCTTGTATCCATTAGTGTTAAGCAAATAATTTCCGTTAAGTCCAGTGGAAGTTATGATACAAACATATAAATGAAAGTTTTTTATTGAAACGCCTTTCTCTTTGTCAACATTTACTGTCATCGTACCTTCTTAGAATTGTTTCAAACTTCTAACGTATCAGTAGTAATTTTATTGCAAAATGTTGTGATATCTCAACTGCTTTTTAAATATTTAAATTCCGAATTCGAATTGAATACATAGTTAAGAATTAAAAATAAATTAAGTGTGTTTATGCTTCTAACGGCCGATACCAGATTAACCTTTATGTACATGAATAGAACTAACTAGACATTTTTTAAAAAAAGAACTGTTCGTAGAGTACAAAGAAGGGCCTATAGCTCGCGGCTAAAACGTGTCAGAAATAATTATGTTTTTAACTGGTTGTGAAGTAACGGATCGTCGTAATGCACCTGCCGGGTCGTTGACCCGCCACGGGACCTTGTCCGCGAAACTCGATCTCGCAAAAACCATTTACTGTTAGCCATGGAACACTTAATCCGTCTATATGGGGTGCAATAATAAGCTTCAAGTCAATGTAATTAACATGTATAGAGGACATGGCTGTCGTAGCATCCATATTTGTGCGAAGACTGTATTTAAACGTTTTACCTAATTTGGATTAATAAGAATTCCATAATCCAAAGAGGATATTTTCCTTAAGAATCTGCATAACAAACTATTCGATGGTACCTTTAGAAACATTCATATGATCTAAATTCAAATTTAAATTGGAAATCTGTTCTATAAAGCGATTTCCATAAATGTAGCTATAAGTAAAAGAACCTTCATATCTCTGCATGAGCAAAAGTGAAGTATTCCAATCATTAACTCCAAAACTAACTGGTTTAAGTAAAGTAGGATTAATAACAAGTTTCTATGGAAACTTTCGTGCCAACATAGGGTCAAGGCCCAAGACATTTGACGAAGTCGGACAAATAGATAATAGCTACTTAAGAAGTGGATGCTAAAGCGACTGGAGTATCTACGCTGACCTCATTGAGACCTAGAATTACATGATAGCGTGCTAACAGAACCTAATATCAGTCTATTAGTAGAAGTATATGCCTGATTATATAATAGACAAGGACATTTTTATGCAATTAGGTAGAAATTTAATTTAGGACGATTTAAAGCTGCACTTATTATAAATGAAGTTGTTTATTAACCCTTTTGTCAATGTCACTGCTAAGTGCAGCTTTTATTATTAATTGCACGTTTATAATATTTATGGTTTAGAAATAAACGTATTTTTCGTTTTAATGGTTATTTTATTCAACTTTGGTCTACGTGATACTAATTAATTATATTGTTTTTAGTTGAAATGTTCATTTAAAAAGAAGAACTTTAGTGTTTCTTCTTTCAAAGGATAAAAGAATGAATGTAAACGAATTAATCTCTAAACAAGAGGGGAGACTAATATTTTGATGTCCCGTTTTTTCAATTTTAATGATTGAAGTGGCTATTTCCTGTCGCAAGATAAGACAAGCTACTCTCACGGTTTCACCCGCAGCCGCGGCTCTGACAGATCGTAGCGATAAATGGACTTACAAACGCAAAAACAATTGGGTAGTTTCCTAGGTCAAAAATAAATTAATTCGACGTTTTAATACGATAAAATATTGAAAAATAACTATACTTTTATTCATTGATCGATCGATATACTAAGTTTTATAATAATAAGATATTTTTTAGCTAATTTTTTTAAAAAAAGTAAGCTATTTGACGCAAAAATGCTATGACGTCATAATTTAATGTTTCATACAATTTTCATAGAAAAGTATCGTTTTTGACATTTGGATAAAAGTTGGAAACAACCGTATTGTTCAATTCGAACCAGCAGTTCCGTAGGTTATCGCGTTCTTTATAATATTATAGTATGGATATGACATTTAAGATCCGCGCACACTAATATCACCGTTGTAACAGCCATAATAACAAAGTTTTTGTCGAAATTCAAGCAACAACTATTTTGATGGTTAAGCAATGAATGAATAAGGTACTTAATTAAAATGTCACTATTTTAAGAATGTGCAAACGTGCGTACTTCGTGTTAATGATCGTGGTACGTCAAGATGCAATGTCGTATTATAACGAATTTGTTTCGCAATTTCTTTATTGGATTAATGACGTTAAGTGGTAAATAATTTTGTAAGTAAATTGAAACTTTATGAAGTTGTCATAAAGTTTGCAATATAACAGTTGCAATATTTCGATTGTGGTTTTTATGATAATTGCATCGTCTTCTCAATGGTGTTTTGAATTAACTAGCTAAGGACGAGAAGGTATTCGTATTCTGAAATAATGTCTATTACAACACAACTCAACTATATTTCTTAATTTTAATAACATTAAGTGTGGTAGAACCAAGCTTCGGCACGAATGGGTCGGCTCGACCGGAGTGCTACCACGGCCTCGCAGAACACCGGCGTGAAACAACCCACAGCGTTGTGTTTTATTTCGTGTGAGTGAGGTTACCGGAAGCCCAATCCATCCCCCTCCCCTATCCCTTCCCGATCCTGCTATCCCCAACCCCTATCCCCAAAAGGCCGGCAACGCACTCGTAACTCCTTTGGTGTTGCGGGTGTCCATGGGCGACGCCGATTGCTTACCATCAGGTAATCTGTATGCTCGTTTGCCGACTTATACCATAAAAAATTTTGAGATGAAATTCTAAAGATATTACAATACTACGAGCGACCCGCCCGTCTTCGCACGTATGCAATACTGATACAAAAGTTCTGTACAATTAAATGGATGTTATTATACATACATACATATATGTAAATTATCTTCATCGATCATTCTATCTTTTAAAAAATACTTCATCTGCATCTGCATCAAAATTCATTGCGTAGTTTTAAAGATTTAAGCATATATAGGGCTATGGGGACAGGGAGATCGACTTTGTTTTATACACTGTGTAGTGATAATGAACTTGTACTTAGTAGAAATGTACCTATGTTTCTAAATAGGATATGACAAAAAAGTTGAAAAAATTATAGACAACTACCATTTGCCCGCTATTTGTTCGCGTGGAATAGTGACTTCCTGCAGATTTTTGGTATAAAAACTATTCTATGTCCTTTCTCGAGTTCCAAACTACATTTGTATGTCTGTACCAAATTTCACAGAAATCGGTTCAGTAGTTTAGGCGCGAAGAAACGACAGACAGACAGACATGTCTTCGCATTTATAACATTATAGTATACACAACAACACTCGCTCGGTTTCACCTGCTGCTTTTGAACGTTACATTTGAACGTTGCGTGATGTTTTGCAGCCTACAGCCTTCTTCGATAAATGGATTAATGAATACAAAAACAATTGATCAATTCGAACCAGTCGTTCCGGAGATTGGCGCGTTCATACAAACAAATACATTCTACAGCTTTATAATATTAGTATAGATAAAAACAGAAATGTTTTTGATGCGTCAAAGGCAAGAATTAAATTTATTTATATATTTGTGATCATAGCCTAAAGGTATGTAGATACTTATTATATGATAATTAATGTTATATTTAGTTGGACCATGTATACCTATAGCTTTGTGTGTTAATTTTAATTTATTAAATAGAACAATACAGCATCGACATAATTTGTTGATACTCAAATAATACAATTTCCGCTTTGCAAGGAAGGCTAAGAATTCGTTCTCAACTTTTGAACTGAAGTTAGTGTGTGTTATCCATACTATTAATATTATAAAGAGGTAAAATTTGTAAGTTTGTATGTAGGGGGTAATCTTTGAAACCGCTGGTCGGATTCCGAAAATTCTTTCAGTGATAAATAGCTATAATGTTCCTGAGTGCTATTAAATAATCTATAGGCAAATGGTGAAACCGCGCGAGAGTAGCTAAAGATATAGCTTAAAAATATAGCTAATCTTTTATAGTTTGAAAATATAGCTAAGAAACAGACAATCAACTTTAGGGCTGAAGAGCTGAAGAGAAGAAGAGAAGACTACAAAGAAGAATTTAATTCTTAAGCTAACATATAATTTATTTTGAAATATACAAGAATTTCGTAAATATTTAGTAATTTACAAGAACCAAAGTTATTTAAGGCCTTTTTTAAAAAAGGACTGATTATCATCAAATTCAATGATGCCACTTGATGATTTACGCCTTTGGTGGGATAAAAGGGAGTGACAGACTTTTACAGACTAAAAACACCTCGTTCCTTCTTTTGCTCCGGACCCGGAGCTATTGAACATTATTGCTCTTGCGGGTACAACCCTAGTAATAATAATTTTCGACATAACATTCGTTCTTTTTAAGATAATTAATTAGAAGTAGGTATAGCTATTTTCACAACATGGCGTTTCATACAAAACTCATAGAAAATTATCGTCTTTGATATTTCGGCGAAAGTATGGAACTTGACTAGTTGGAAACTACCCCTAATTTTTCTTTTAACTACCCTAACATTTTAAATTAATTGGATTAGGTAATTGTACTTATTTATTTACCACTTAGACATAGGTGGGATTAATGCTAAAAGCATTTTTAACTAAGAGCTTGATATTGACGGGGCTACCGGGCTACAAAAGATAGTTTTAACACATTAGTATTGCACCTGCGTCTTGTCAAAGTGTCATGGCGTCTTATCGAGACACGACATCCATGTTACTCAACCTCTAAGTATTATACGCATTTCTCCTACTTTCTGTGGCTTCCGTATTTAGCTGGCAGTTTATGTAATAATTCATTTCTGATTTTATAATGTCTGTTTTATTGATTTATTGACATAGGTCTAGATATTTATGGAAGTTTACATTCTTGAACATGTTAAATATTTCAAATTGATAAATAATTAAATATAAGTTTATAAAAAAATTTAATATTTTATTTCAAGCTACTTATACATGGTAAGTAATTGGACTAATCTCACGTTGGGATTTTAATTTGTGTTTTTGAGTAATTATTTATATTTTTTTTTTAATTTAGATACTTTTTGGACTAGTTGCTCTTTAATGCTGAATGCATTTTCTTTCAGACGGGCTTACAGTGATACAGAAACAGGTCGTGATAGTTGTACACCACAAAAATCTTAATAATAAAGGCAATTATTATTAAGATTTCTTTTGCCTTATTATTAAGATTTCTGTGTACACCTAAAATAACAAATCAACAATATTTATACCCAAAATTAAATTAAATATTCTTAGCTTCATTATTCTGTCTCAAAGTAGCAAAAATTATTACACACAATACTACAAAAAGGTAATTATGATGATTAGATAGTAAATTTTAAAACTGGAATAATAAATAAGGTTTATCTATAATATAAAAATGAATCGTAAAATATGTTTGTAAGCGCATAACTTAAAAACGCCTGGATCAATTTGGACAAATCTTTTTGTGTTGTATTTATTATTGTCAGGAGAAGGTTCTTATGAAAGAAAATATTAGAAGAATAGAGGGGAAAATTGGGGAAAAGGGATCCTTTTGTTGTTAGCGAGATAGTTGGACCCGTGCGAAGCGGGGTTGGGCCGCTAGTTTTTTTTTTATTTGGTACCAACCTATAAACAATATAAACGATGCACCTAGGTATAGGCCAAATTTTTTTTCACGTTAATAATATTACAAAAAATAACATACAAGAGTTCGACCTCTATTCTCTTTGTGAACTGTCAAGGTAATTTAATTGTGAATTCATATCAGGTACAAGTAAATAATAGAAGTAAATAAACAAACAAAAAATATGACCTCGTTAATTATAAACGCTACGGTCTTCGATATTTTAATTTTCGTGCTAATTGTTATGTTAATTTCAATGTTCATGTATTAGGTTAAACATAATACCTAATGAAGATACGTATGTATAAATGCATTTTTATTATAATGAGTACAATGAGTTTTAAGGATGCCCTGTTAACAGAATATCGGTGTTAAGAAATATACATTAATTCCTTGATTAAAGTGGAAATGCAAAGAGGTCTATTATTTTTCGGAAAACTTCGTAGATATAGTGAATGAGTTTATTTTTGTAAGCGTTGCCGTGAAGACGTATTTGATAAACAAGACTACATGTTCTTTTAAATCTTTATGGCTGCTGTGCAGCGTTTCCCCGCCCTGTTCCATTCCCTCACGTAACAACTCTTTGTACAATGCACAAATTGTTATTCTGATTGTCAAATTGTATGTTGGTAAACGCACCCACGACAAAGGAGAAAATTCTGAAGTCACCACTTTTTTGCAAAAAACAAAACAATATTATAAAATCGTCAAATTGTACCTAAGTAAACAATTTAACCTATTTCTAGCCCTAAAACTAGGAGCAAGAGTAAGCAGGCCAAATAATTATCAGCCAATTCAATGATTCCCTACGATCTCCTGGGTTTTCTAAACAAGTTTCATCCACAGATAACTCGGGATAATTTTATCCGACTAGTTTTTAAATGCGTTTATTTTAAGCACTCCTTAAAGATGTGTTAACATGTGTTCTTACACAGCACAGGACTAACTCCTGAGCGCAAAAAGAAAGTTCCAGAAAAAATACTTACAAGTGAAAGTGCACTCTACTTTCATGTAATACGCACTGTTCTTGAGTAAACAAAATTTTTTTAACGGTCTTCTTATTGTTACATAATCATTGTATTAGTTCATAATAATAATTAAGGCATGTGATTAAAATTATGAGGCTACCCAAATTTGTTCTTTATTCTTTTGAAAACTTAGTATTTTTTTGCAAACACCTTTCTTTCTGTTTACAAGAGGAATAGGAGGCATTTACTCTAAAAAGAGGACCTTAATGAAAAAGTTAATGGCCTCATAATAATAAAAGTATGTTTAGTTGTAGGCAGCATATTATGTAGATATTACAAGAAAGGTTTACTTTCTTTTTATAATACTACCTATACTCTAAAAATAGGTAACATAAATCAATTTTATAGTGTCAGATATATTTGCCAAATATTAAAACCACGTGGTTAACTATTGTAGTAGGTATTATTTTAATTTTTAATTTAAATTTAATCAAAACAGTATTTTAATGGTCAAGTTAGGTAACTCAAAAACTTACATTAAAATAAATTACTGTTTAAAGAAATTAACAAAACATTTTTATTGTATTGTACTATAAATAAAAATACTTCATTAATTTATTTCTATTACATAATTATTATCTATCTATACATCTGCTTAACAAGGATTTAGGACGTTACGATTTTGGCATTCGTTCCATGCAACATTATTCAAAATTCGACAGTAGAAAGCATACCTAACAGAAAATGGCGGTAAAATAGGATCTATTGATTAAAAAAATTCAAATATATTTTATGAAAAAAAAAATTGCAAGTAATGTGTGTTTCAAAAGCTTTCTTTACCACAGAATCGTTACGTTATTTTAAGCTGATGAATCATCTATTAATGTAATAAAAAAAACTAATATGTAAGTTCCTGCGGACGTAAACAAATATTTAAAAAGTCGTTAATATGTTAATTATTCTTATAACTAATTATTTATTTCGGAAAATCCGTGTTTTGGCCATAACACAATAATTTCTCTTATTTCATACATAAGGATATTTTAATAAATTATAAAAAGAGATTAACCTCCAAGGAGTTTTGAAAATTATATTTGTGGATAATCCAGTCTCCCATATAGGTAGGATATTATTTGTTGCTATGCCAACATTTGAACTCTACTCGGAGTAGAGTATTTTAGGAATTTTTGGAATTTCCAGTTACTTTTTATGCTCATAGGTAAAATAATAATATATCTAAATTCAAATGACGTCTGTCGAGTAAGTTAGTTCGATAGTTTTAATTTTATGTTTGTTTAAAAAGGGCCACATTCTGTCTTCTCTGTAAGTAAAGATAATTCAAATTAAGTACAATTAAGAAACATTTGCTTTTGATATTTATATGAAATCCAATAATAGTTTCACTGTATTAAAACGAATGAAATAAATTAGAAAGCGCAATAAACATTTTTACCATAGGATATGTTTTCAAAATAAGTATGTAGGTATTTCAAATAAACAAAAAATAATGCCATAATGTTCTGAGGTTTACGTAAATTTGCTATAGTAAAACTATATTATCTTTTTCCAAAATTTTAAATTCAGAGTCGCTACGAGTGGAGTAAAATTAAAAGAAACCAACGACTGCTTAGATTTATGAAATTGCATAAAAGTAGCTAAGTACTTGATATAAATTAGGTAGTTTCCAAGGTAAAAAATAAATTAATTCGACGTTACAATATAATAAAATATCGAAAAATAACTATACTTTTATTCATCGATCGATCGATACACTAAATTTTAGATATTTTTTAGGTAATTATTAAGAAATAAATAAGCTATTTGACGCAAAAATACTATGGCGTCATAATTTAATGTTTCATACAAATTTCATAGAAAAGTGTCGTTTTTAACATTTGGATGAAAGTATTGAATTTGGCTAGTTGGAAACTACCGTATTCTACTAAAGAAAATAAAAAAAAAACAAAAAAATCAACGCTAAAAAATATGTAAGGTAAATTTGAGTAATAATTTTAAATTAAGAAAACAGTAATGATTTAATTTTGGAACGTCGCGTCGCGATTTTTATCCCTATTACAATGTGACTTATTGCCACCGAATACCTGAAAAGAAACTCACTCCATAGTCCATTCTATTGTTTAGGGCTAGTAAAATAAATGACACAAATAGTAACACTCGTCCGTCTACTTTCTTCAATCTACTTACGTGTGTTTGAAGTTCCCGATGCTATCACTGCGGCGAAAAATAATACTAACACTTGGTAATTTGCCATTTTGAAAATAAAATTAAATTAACATTAGAATAAAAATTTGAAAAAAGGCGCCTCGGAATTATTCCACTTTTGAATTAGGAATTGAAAATTTTGTTTTTTTTTTAATTTATGAAAGCCGGCAAGCGTCCGGCGCGTGCTGCCTCGGCGGGAGCAATGGTGTCGTAGGCTGAACCCTCTCCAAGGCACAAGATGCGTTGACCGCAGGTTTTCTATACATTTTTGCGGATGCGTATTTTTTTCCTTTTGTCTCTTTGTAGTGTTTGAGAATGACATGTCGTCGAAGTTCTCACATTTCGTTTTCTTTTCTTTATTAAAATAGTTATTAAAGCTAGACTGTTGCCTAAGTCTTGTTTAAAAACACATTTGGAATAGAATCATTTAACAATTCTGTGGTATCTTTTAGTTACTTATATAATAATATATAGCTTCGATGTTTATTTGTTGTTAAGCGTATTTTCCCAGTTGCCATTCGTAATAAAAAGATTGATTAAATCCTCAAAAAAATATTACTTATAGATTTTTGCAATATGCCAATTGTATAATTTAATTTATTGCATATTCCTTATTTACAAAATAGTACCATTAAAATTCACTTCCAAAGTTAATAACCACGTAAATAAGAGTTTTTTTTGTCAAGAGAATGTTGCGGCTTAATCATCATTGTATTTTCGTGTGATGAATTTGAATTAAAGGTGAAGTGAACGGCCGAGGTGTTAACTTATGACATGCCCGGACACTTAAGGAATAAATTGAGATGGTGTATAGATAAAATAAATAAAACATTTGTTCAAGAAATGAAAGAGATTTTAATGACGTTTTTATTGCTTTTACGTAGATACTACTTCTGTGTGTACTATCACGGATTCATATCGCATTTTAAGTAATACATACTTTGTCAAAATAATAATTCTTGTAATCATCATTATTTATTTATTATATTTGTAAACATAAATATTTTTAAAGTTTAAAATAAGTTGAGTAACGCTAGGTTTCGCATACAAATATTAGTATTTTTATAAAATTAAAATGAATTAATAATTCTTTTTTTTGTCTGGTAAAATGTATTAATTAGGCGAAAAGATTACGAACTCGAATACCGCGAACTTAATCATCATCTTTTTTGAAATTCGAATTGAATCTATTCGAATGACGCAGATTTAAAAAGACTTATTTGTAATTATGAAAACCGCCTTGTCTTTGTCTATAGGTAACAAATCTTTGTAATAGTTATATAAACGTAATTTTACTTTAATATCTAATTATTCTAGTAACCAATTAACTGGTTTACTTAAAAAAATATTCGGGATTTGAGACACAAAAATACACTAATACTTATCACATATTTAATTAGTTGCACAGCGTTCTAAATTAATCGATTTTAAGAAATGATTCTCGATACCACCGAATCGAATCTCGATACCGTTACTACCGGTTTGAGTGCATTCGTGATGAGGAATATGTCGGTCATATACTCTTGCTCTGAATTGCTTTTTATTTATTTTTATATCTGCAATTCATTTTGTTGAAAAAAAAAAACAAAGCGGAACAGGACAGACAGACGTTTAAATTCTTTTTTTTAAATTGGTCATTTATTTTTGTAAATCAAACTTTATGGTTATTTTTTGTTTCGCTTGATTATATTTTTATTGAAAGAAAGAACAAGTGGAATATTTGTACATAAGTGTATTTCTTTTTAATTAGCATTTAAATTAATTATTATTATGCGTAATTATACATATACCTATTAGCGAGATGATGATTCAATATAAACAATAGAATTCATTGAAGATGTGTCATTGGACAATTGATTATATTTTTTATATATAAAAAAAACTTTAGGTAGGAACATTATTGTGAACTATACTGCATAATATGATACATACGTATAATGTAACCTAGGTATAAGGCTATGTTTAAAAATTAAAGAACTCGTCCTCATCATACTTTTCATTAGCAACCTCTGAACCTCTAAGAGATGACAGCTTGAAGCCTGTAGCTTGCATTTGATCAAGTTCAGGTAACTTTTGCTTTATCAGTTCATCTACATTCACCTTAGATAGTTCTTGCTGAATTCTTTCCCTCAATGGACCTTCAAATGCATCCATGATCTGGTACCTTAGAAGATTGGGTATAACGTTTATTGCGAACTCAATTACGTAGTCTAGCGTGCCCGCCCCATCGAAGCGAACTTGGATATTACCTATATCAAGATCTATGTCTCTCAGTGTGGGACGTTTTCTAGTGTCAAGCGGCTGTGCCAGTATAACCCTAGCACCGAAGTATTCAATGGAAAATGCTGCTGTACCAGCCCTTGACATAAGTCCACTTATAGCTGAAACGTCCCACTGAGTTCTTCCTTCCAACTTTTGTGTACCAACCTCAAAGTCCGCTACAGCTGTATTGTTTTCCATTTTCAAAGTTATATTTCCAACTCTTTGAAAAGAAGATATTCCAGTAACCCAGGTGTTAGCCAAAGAGATCGTAAATATACTCATCGTAGTGTTGTTATCTTTAATTTTGTATGGATCTAGCTTCATGTCACTGATTTTTTTCCTAACATCAATGATCACCATGTCCAGTGGAGAAATAGAGTTGGGGAATTGTAAATCGCCAGCGACTTCTTCAAGTTTTGCATTGATTTCGGCCCTGGCTTTGGGGTATGCTTCCTTGAGGATAGCTGGTAAACTTGAGTCAAAGATGGCAGCACCTCCAGTGTTGATTATGCTTTGCAACATACCTCCAAGGAATCCCAAGTTTTCAAAGTTTGTGGCTATTTTGCTGAAACTTAGATCGACATGGATGTCTTGGGCTCGTAGCTTTCCGTCTATTTCTACACCGACATTAGCTTTTGCCAATATTTGTAAGCCTGTGATGTCGACTGTGAATGGTCCTCTTGAAGAACCGAACCACGACGATATAGAATAGTTCCCTCGAGCTTGCAAGGCATCTATCCTTAGCGCTGCTTCGACCTAGAATAATTGTTACAAAGGATTTAGTATTCTATTGGATATATATTAGATTGTTATTTTCTATGTATCTATATCATATTTGTTTACACGGACAATGGATCACAGATTATGTATATTGAATGTACTTAAGTGATGTTGAACAGAAAGATGTTTATTACATTTTTTTATGATTATAAAATAATTTCGATCATGCTGTTTGCTCTTATATGTATACATATGCTCAGACCTTTAAAACTACGCGACAGATCTTTAATAGATAGACCGATTCTTGAGTTACATTTTGGTGTAGATATAGTTTATTAAGGTTAACGGACGATGTTGCGGGCAGGAAGCTAGTCTTTGATACAAATAATGTTACCGTAGGGAATATTTCAATGGTTTATAGAATAAATATTAATACTTACAACAAGATCTTCAACTTCAGCATTCACATGTAAGATTCTGAGTTTACTAAGACCGTGGACCTTAGTGTTTGTTAGATACAGAGTGCCTAGTTGTAGAGACTGTTTCATATCTGCTACAGGACAAGGATCTGGTATGACATCTCCTGGCAGACCGACAGGATCTGGCTGTCTAAAATGTTCTAACATCATCAGAATATTGTCACTCAGCTTCTTCTCTACTTTCGCCAGTTTTTCATTTTCCGTTGAAACATCCTCTTCTGTGTCATCTGCAAATGCATTTTTAACAATTTTAATTTTATTGTAGCCTCGTATACGTGTAGTTTGTCTTCGGGATTTATATTTGCTGGTAACATGAGCATTGTGATAAACTCAGTGATGCAAATAGTAGAAAAATATTGTGTTGTTTTGAAGACCGGTTTTGTACCTATCTATAGGACAGATTAAAAAGTATTTTTAAAGATTTCTACGAATTTGACTTGGAAAAAAAACTAAAAATGAGTCTGTATTAGATTTGCTTATCGATCTCCAACTCTCAGGAACTTGTACCTACGTCAAACCAACGCGCATTAAAAACTTAATATTGACTCATCACACAAGACTCCGTCGGAACAAGGGCACTATGACCAAATATTATTGAGAGGACACGAAATACCGTGAGCTTGATTACTCATTAACGACAAATATAACTTCACAAATAAATATTGTAATGTACACTTTGTTTTACACACACCTTGGCCTGACGCCGTGACAATAATTAAACAGAAAATAGTTATAAACTTTTGCAACCACATGTTCTTTGACAAGTGTACCACTGACTAAAAGAACAGCCAAATATTGTTTCGTTGTTCATATCCAAGTCAGGGGTCAACATTTATCAGTGCTACGTAGCTATTTATCAATAATCATGGGTTTCCTGTTTAATCATTTCGGATTTTTCTTTGTTCTAGATATCTTTACTATTTTTTAAATTTAGAACTTTAGCTCGTTGACTGGGTGTTATTATTTTACAAACTGTTTTTTTAAAGATCGAAATGTGATCATATTCAAAGGGTTTTTTTCTGCAGGTTGGATTGTTAACTTGTAACTGTCATTTATATGTAGTTAGTAAGCGTTGTTTGAAACGTACATTATCGTTAACACGACCGTGTATTAAAAATAATCAGTGCGATGAAATTAGAAGAAAATAAAAATAATACCTACTTGACGGCCTTATGGCCTTGATTCGCGAAGTTATGGAAGCTCTAGATTGGAATGTTCAACCCAAAAGGAGGTGTAGACGTCCTCGTCATATCTGAAGCAGCCATAGTATAACGTGGAGCAAGCGTAAAGCTTTACTTTACTCCAGACCAAATACCGATCAAGGTGGATATCTTCTGCACCTTTTTATTGTAGAGGGAAAATAATAAAATTACTCGTCTAGTCGTCTAATCTATGCTATGACGAGAGGGAGTGTCAGAGTCTTATTGATTAAAAACGCCCCCGTTCCGACTCCTGTACCAGAGCGATGCCGCAGCACCTTCTTGAGCTGGCTAAGCATTGGCTATGTTAGGTCCATCTGTGGTGGTCTAATGGTTCTTTGAGGTGCGCGTAATACGTTACGTTCCACACGCTCGGATCTGGTTCTGGTCAGGCGGCGAGCTACCTTTGTCCGCTCTCGACCATAAATTCTTCTGCACCTTCTAGAGGATCAAAGATATTAAGTCAAGTCACATACACGAAGAGGTGTAGATTACTTAAATAAATTAGGGTTCTTGCTTCTTGCTTTTTCTATTTCGGTCACGTCTCGTGAACTGTCTATTTCGGAGTTCCCAAACGCAAAGACAGCTCTCAAAATTTATTGTTTTAATTTTCTAGTATGTGATTGGAATTTAATCCGTGATTTATAGTTTTATAGCATTGATGCGTTTATATGATTATTGTGTAAAGTTTCTTAAGGTTGGTGTGGTTTGACGTCTTTATGAGTAACTAGCTATTCTCGCGCGGTTTTACCCGCTGCTCGGCTCCATTTAATCGTAGCGTGATGTTTTATAGCCTATAGGAACATTGTAGCTATCTGTCAGTGAAAGAATTTTAGCAATCCGACCAGCGTTTCCAAAGATTGCCCCTACATACAAACTTACAAACATACAAACTACAGTTACCTACTACAGGACTGTAGCCAGGAACCTGGTTACTTTTAGTATGCTACCATTGTTAGTAGTAAGTTATTGTTATTAAATTAACATCTAGTTGCAGTAGGATAATATATGAGATAAGGAGGCGGAAAATTATTATTTGAATACCATGGTAGGCTTGACGTTTCGACCCGGTTGCCTGTGCAACCGAGTCGAAACGTCAAGCCAAGTCGTGGTCACAAGCAGACTGACTACTTTTTTTAACTTATTCTTTCATGTTAATTTGCTATCACTTATTTAGTAGGCGTTTCAGACAAACTTAATTATAAATATTGCTCTACTTCGATGATTATATCTTCTATGCCAAGTAAGCAATGTGTTTATTTCATTGGGCCTTAGTTCTGTACTCATAGTTGATTCCTTAAACCAGACCTCAACAATTCGGAGTTCATAACTAGTTAATTTCAATACTTTTTTATGTGGTTGGTCAGCTAATTAGCATACTGAGAAGTTACAAGGGCATTGGCCATTTTGGAGATAAGGGGTTCGGATATTTAGGGATTCAGATTCCAGTAACCTTACTCAAACAGTGAAACACAATGTGATTGTTTTTGTATTTGTATCATTCGTCCCGAAGATTGAAGGACTTCTATTAAAATGTCAAAATCTATACTTTTCTATGATTTTGATTTGATTTACTTTGAATTGAATTGACTGCACGGTTGGCGCGGTGGCTGGGCAACTGGATGACGCACAACGTGTCGCGGGTTCGGCTCCCACACAGAAATTTTTAGTGTGATGCACAAATTGTTGTTCCGGGTCTGGGTGTGATGTGTATGTGAAATTGTATATTTGTAAACGCACCTACGACACATAACAGGAGAAAATCCTAATGTGAGGCATCGTTAAAAAATATATATATAAAAAAATTGCAACATGACGTGAATAAAATTGTTATAAAGCTTTTACAACAAATAACACAATTTATGAAAAGATTTTTTTCAAAAATTCCGTCAAAAGTAATGGAAGTATAACTTTTTTTGTGATACTGCAAAATAGTTTATTTTTAACAAGGAAGCTACGCCGTCGTTTTTCGAATAAATTTGTTACTACGGAATAGTTTATATATCATGATTATACCCCATTAACTACCATGAAAATAAATATTAGTTGTACTTATTCTATAATATTTGTATAGATCGACGATCTAAGTAGCTTACTTTGTAAATTAAGGGTTTTCACTAATATGTATTCGTAAACATATTTATATATTTGTTCAAACATTAATGACTAATGATAAATTGAAGGATACGAGAAACCTTTGTGACTACGAAGTACACGTACATAAATTTGATAACAACGCCATCTATTGTTGGTTGTCAACGATTCCGAATAAGATTTTCTTTAATGTTGTTAAAAGCAATGAAATACCTATGTTATAATATTGTCCAATTGATTAATTTTATTTATTTAATAAATAAGTAGATGAACATTATGGATATGAAATCTTTAAAATGAAATTATAATATAGGCACTGTAAACTTAGAAGTTAAAAAACTCGTCTTCATCAAATGGTTGCTTTTCTGTGACGGATTCTTTGAAGTCTGATAGCTTAAACCCTGATCCTTGCATTGCATCGAGTTTTGGAAGTTCTTCTTTAATCATCTCCTCAACGTTGATCTTATCAAGCTCTTGTTGCACTCTTTCTTTCAAGGGACCTTCTATGGCATCCATAATCTGGTATCTTAGTAGATTCGGTAAAATATTTACCGTGAACTCTATAACGTAATCTATAGTTCCAGCTCCATTGCACCGTACTTGAATGTTTCCTACTTCTAAGTCTATGTCCCTAAATATTGGCTTCTTCCTCGTGTCCAGGGGCTGGGCCAAAATAATTCTAGCGCTTATATATTCAACGGAGAATGATGCTGTACCAGCTCTTGACAGCAGTCCACCGATAGCAGAAATGTCCCATTGAGTTCTGCCTTCAAGTCTCTGCGTACCAATATCAAAGTCTGCGATAGCAGTATTATTTTCCATTTGTAAAGTAATATTGCCAACTCTTTGAAATGCAGATATACCAGTGATCCAAGTATTAGTCAAAGAGACTGTGAATACACTCACAGTGGCGTTATAATCTTTCATTTTGTAAGGATCCAGTTGCATATCTCGTACCTTCTTCCGAACGTCGATAATCACCATATCTAATGGAGATATGGAGTTAGGAAACTGCATATCCCCGGCAACCTCGTCAAGCTTAGAGTTGATTTCCGCTCTAACTTTAGTGTAAGCTTCTTTTAAAACATATGGCTTAATGGAATCGAAGAGGAAGTTACCAACAGTATTTATGATCCCCTGGAACATTCCACCGAAGAATCCTAGGTTTTCAAAGTTCACGGCTATAGTACTAAAGCTTAGATCTATGACGATATCTTGTGCTCGTAGTTTTCCATCACGTTCCACGCCAAGTGTAGCTCTTGCTGTGATCTTCAGACCAGTGACGTCTACAGTGAACGGGCCCTGAGCTCGGTTTAGCCAAGTTGACATGGTGTAATTGCCGCGAGCTTGTAGTACATCGATTGTCATCGCTGCATGGACCTGGAAATATGATACAATATTTTTTATGACAGAGGAAGCAAACGAGCAAACAGATCAACCGATGTTAAGTGATAGTGTCACCCATGAATACCTGCAACACCAGAGGAGTCACAAGTACTCTTAACTTCTTTTTTAATAAATACTTCATATGTTATTTTTGTTTATTAATTTATTATTGTATTCATAAATACTGTGTTCTTATTATGTATTTTTATATACTTGTATTTGTGTGCCTATTTGTCGAATAAATGTGTTTTCTTTCTTACTTTCTTAAGAAGGATTACGATTGTTTCTTGAAAGTTGGTTATTTTAGAAAAAAAACTTTCTACAGTTAACAGGATATTAACTTGGCTAGAACGTTATTATTTAACTATATTTCCAATAATTTTATACTTGAAACATGTATCTAGTTGACCTTTAAATCTTTATCATCTTTTGCGAATAACATAATAGACCAATGAATCTATCGAATGACTTCATAGAATGTTGTTATCTACATAATATGTTTACATTAATTATCAACAATTTTTACCTCCATTGCTCCAATTTCTGCATTGACATAAAGTATGCGAAATTTGCTGATGCCGTAGACAGCCGTGTTCTTGAAGTAAAGTGTACCAAATGATAGTGACTGTTTCATGTCTGGTACGGGGTAGGGGTCCGGTATAGCTGCACCTGGCAGCCCCACAGGATCTGGCTGTTTGAAGTGCTCGAGTATTGCCAGAACATTTTCACTTAGTTTCTTTTCCCCTTCTGCTAATTTTTCAGCGTCGTTTGTATCTTCTTCCGTGTCATCTGTAATGTTATTGTCATCACGTTAGTTCGTTATAGTAGATAATCCATGTACGCTTAAGATGTGGTTATTAATAAATATATTGCACGAAGACAGCGCTTTTTGGCTGTGTGAGTGGAACTTCACAACAGATTTCGTTAATCACTTGTTATTAGTTGTCATAATTTTATTTTGACCTGCAATAAACGTGTGTATAGGTTAAATACATTAACTGATATTATTGAAACAACAACGTAAAATTAAATTATAACAAAGGGCTTCGCATACGCTTCACATATCAATGCAGCTCAAATTTCAAACACACGTGTTATTTGTTGCACACATCAATGAAATAAATTTAAAACATGAACTTGAAAAATAAACCTTAACACAGATGGAACACATCACAAAATCAAAACTCCAGCTGTTGCACTTAACACGGATGAATGGGACCAGATACATGAAAGCACGGAAGGAAATGATAAAAAGGCAGATAAAAATCACGTAATAGATAAAAAACATGAAATAATAGACCAGACCTTGACCGAACACTGCGAGGAATAATGAGAACAGAAAGAATTTATGTAACCACATCTTGATTGCAAGATGGAAGTATGTAAACTGACTGAATGATGAATGGGCCGCGCTACGGATCCCTCGCTCCTGTCGACTTAGGGGTCACAATTTATCTACGCTGCAGTTCGTTATCGTTTGTTTGTTTGTCGTTTCAATAAACGGTTATTAGGTGATTACAATATAATTTGTTTTAATTAGCCGATTGTGGATTAGGTCACATTGTTAAATTTCTTATTGTGATTTTTTATGCACGTCTGATTTGTTTATTTTTTGTACATTATCTTAATATGTTAGGTTTAATGAATAGCTTGAAGCTCAATTTGTTATTATGATACATGATGATTAATTGATATATTTAGATAGGTGCTATTATTTGATTGATTTTATTTATTTATACTTTTGCACTCAAATTTACCAAAATTCGAAATAATTAGAGCAGTCTGGATACATAACAAGTAGGTAGCTTTTATTTGGTCTCTAATGTAGGAAGAAGTCTACGTAGCCTACATACCAATTTCTATTAAATAATGACAGCATCACTTATGTAAAAAAAAGAAGAAAGGTCAAATCATTTTGCATTATTCACTTCTCTACATTTTAAGACAAGAAAAAGTAGGCGTCTGCGCAAAGGTCATATCGGAAAGTATTTATTGTTTAACGCCATCTAGTTTTGATATAGAGAACTAAGTGACAATCCAACGATATCGTCTTGATGTTATTGGCGAGTGTGGGTAGATGTCGTTCGTCTTGCTTAGCATAAGGTGTGTTACCATTTGCAAGGTCGAATTTTTTACTAACCATTTATTACGGACCATGGTAATAATGGTGAAAGAGTGCAGGTATTCAAAATTAAAAAGCGAACTTCTAAAGAAACTTTTGTTATAAACTAAAGAAATAATAAGAAGAATGATAACCACCACAGTCCATTTTTCTGTCTCTGCCGTCCATTCGAGGTCTTCATCAACCAAAAGGAGGTGTTATCACGCTCTTTGGGATTTTTTTTAAAGACGATTCTGTTCTTAATTAGTTTTACCTATAGCAAAAAAACTTAAAAGCCGCATCGCAACAGGAAAAGGCACCGGAATGTTCTGGTATTCGTTACACAATAACATATAACATATTTATTATATTTACACACACGTATAATTACATTACATTCCATGATGAGAATGGGAAAATATTAAAAGAACTTCGCAATAAACATTTTTCTAAATATTAACTATATACAGAGTGATGTTAAAACACCATACCGTACAGACCTTTAAGGTTATAAAAACACTAGCTGCTCCCGCGCGGTTTCATTAGCTGCTCGGCTCCGTTCGATTGTAGCGTAATGTTTCATAGCCTATAACATTATACTCCTAACATTGTGGCTATCAATAAGTGAAAGAATTTTGGGAATCCGACCAGTGGTTCCAAAGATTCATACAAACTTACAAATATTACATCTTTATAATATTAGTATAGTAGACTAGCACCCACCCGCGGCTTCACACGCATATTAAAGTAATATAACCTGGGGTTTTGCAAGTCAAGTGTAATTCATAACCTATAGCACTCAAGAACATTGTAGCTATTTATCAGTGAAAGAATTTTGGAAAACTGTTCCTAAGATTCCCCCCCTCCCCCCAAAGATCCCCCTACATACCAACTTAAAAGAATTACCTCTTTATAATATTATATTAGTATAGACAAGAATTAAAAATATATCGTTATTAAAATATTTATGTTAAATATACCTATTACTCCCTAGTGTCAATTTGAAAGTGACCAATACGGTAACTTAAAAACAGAAGATATACCTACACAAATAAGTAACACGCGAAATGTGAATAATAAGTTATTATTTAATCTATTTTTTCTATATTTACCTAACCTATCTGTCTCGATCATAATTAAAGCTGTGATCTTCAGAACAGGAGAAAAGACCACATTATAAACTGACTATATCCTAATGTTTTAACGTCTATTCTATATAAAATCACGCTGTATTTGTGACTCACAAAAGTTTGTTTTTTTCACACCCTGTATTTCTGTTCACACAAGTTTCCTGTTATGACCACAGAGGGCCAAAAATATTTGTTATTTTTTAAAACAAAGGCTTATATAACTATAATTAGGCCTATTTATAAAATCCGCAGGTAGGCTTGAACAACAGTTTATTTTTTTGGCAATATGTACATACATACATATACATATTAAGAGGCCATAGTGATGTAATATAAGTTTTTCTATACTATATTGAAATGAATTATTCTTGCTCAAACGCTATTCTTCTTAATACCCGTAATTAGATGTTTCCGGTTAAATTCTTGGTCAGACAATTGGATTTTCGTAATTAAATACTATTTTCGGCAAATAATAAGAGTTCTTATCATATGGGTCTCGTTAACTTGATTGGTAAAAGGTTTATGTTATTTTTATTATAACTTTCGCGAGACATTCTAAATTAATTATTATGTTTTCGGCTTACTCACGTAATAATTTCACTAGATACTCGACTTGTTTCAAGCCATGCTAGAGGCCCATATTCATGAGCAGCATTCCGCGACACGCGACGTGGCGACTGTCGCGTCGAAAAACATAATAATAAAAAAAAATTGTCAAAATTGGTCCAGGTATTGTTGAGGTACCTATGTATTTACTAGCTTCCGCTCGCGGCTTAGCCCGCATGGCATGTTGACAAAAGTAGCCTGCTTATGTCCTATTCCGGAGTCTATCCGACGCCTGTGCTAAACTACATCCAGATCCGTCCAACCGTTTAGGCGTGATTGAGTAACAAATTAACAAAAGTTACGATGTTTGGATGTTTGGATGATTGTTAATCATCCAAACATCCAAACATCGTAACTTTAGCATTTTTAATATTAGTAAAATATGCATTTACAATCGATGATGTTAAATATACATATTCATATTTTGTATTCATATATACCTAGATCATAAGAAGTACATAAGGATAATATATAGACAATGTATGTAAGTCTTGACCTGACGCAACCTGCAACACAATTATCCTATCGATCACGATGACGCAAAGGATTCAGTTTTATATGAATTAAAATATGTAATTGACTAGTCTTGTCTACCTACTCATCAACCTTTTAAATAGGTTAAGTTTATTAAGTTGTTTTGTTATAATAATACCTTTGTTATTAGACGATCGACCATCATGATTTCAATTATTGGAATAGCAAAGAGACAGACTCAATCGGAGTGATACAACGGCCTTACGTAAAGCTGGCGTGATACAGTGTTGTGTATCGTTAAATACAGTGAGGTTATCAGTGACCTAACCCTTCGTAAACTGGTAGATCCTCATACATTACATCATCAGCCCACTGCTGAGCAAAGGCTCGTCTCAAGCCGGATTGGCGATTTCAAACTTATAATAAGAAATTCTAAGTCTAAATTTTATATAACCCATTCGTCCGAAGTATGGTTCTGGGTGATTATTTATATAAGTATGGTAAATAATAATAGCTATACATATAAGGTAAGCAAACACATTTCACAACCGGAGTGATACCACGAATACCTCACAGAATACCGACGTGAAACAACCACAGCGTTGTGCTTCGCCGAGTGAGTGAGGTAACCGGAGGTCTAATCCTTCCCCCCCCCCCCCCCCCCCGATCCCTCACAATCCCTAAATCTCCAAAACCCTAATCCCTAAAAGGTCGGCAACGCACTCGTTAGTCCTCCGTTGTCCATGGGCGGCGCTGATTACTTACCATCAGGTAATGCGTCTGCTCGTTTGCCGACATATTCCATAAAAAAAAATTTTGCCTGCTATCACGTGATCTACTTACTACTGACATGTTAAGTTAACATGTTTAAAAAAGCAGGAGGGTAACGGTTATGTTAAATAAATGTTAGGATTTTGATTTCTTTCTTTTAACACTTAAATAAGAATTTAATGAATCAAGGCGAAAGAAAACCTTATAAAAATCAGCACAGTTATGAGACAGGCTTAGCAAGAAGTCTTTGTAATATAAAACCTTAGGATTATGGATGTCAATATGACTACGGAAACTATTCAAGTTTAATACTTATTAAGATAATAAGATATAATAACACATCCTTACTTAATGCAACATAATTGTGTCCTTATAGATAATCCTCTTGTCACCTATTCTCAGAAAAATTTACATAAAATAGTGTTTATTAATGTCTAATAAAATGGTTAGTATTTATACCTACTTAGTATTGGTGCTGTTTTGTCTAATCCAAGTTTTAAAATAAGAACTACTTTTTATTTTTAAACATAATAGGATTTTATGTTTACAGTCAGAATTTTAATTCGATTCCTGATTTGACATGACCTACTGTCATTTTGTGAAATAATGATACCACATATATAACAGTGTAGTGATGAACACAAAAATCGATAAACAATCAGTGAATCAGTTACAGGAAGGCGTTCAAAAAATTACGGCTAACGAAGGGTCTAAATGCGTATCCCATGTTGTCAAAGAAGAGGAAAAAATGAGTAAGCTAGAATTGTTAATTGACAATAAAAATCACAGACACAATTCATAATAAATGTTACAGAAAGTAACATCGATAGCGATAGCGATGACGGCGACAATTTATATTAGGTACTAATAATAATAATACATTTATTTGCATAAAATGTGGTACAAGAGTTGGTTTAATATATGTTTTAGAGCTAGACACATTCCGCAGTTATAAAACAGCATGCAAATGTTCAAGTAAAATGCACATTATTGTTTTACATCATTACAATACATTGGTACAAAACGTTCGACATCTTACAGTAAAATACAGAAACACAAAAGTAAAATACAGGTAGGTAAATAACAATTACAATGCATTCCTAAAATGGTAAGACTGAGAAGAATACTTTTTTAGGAACTCATCAACCGAATAAAAACATTCTTCTATCAACCAATTTTTTAGAGTCTTGCAGAACTTCTGATAGGGCAGATCGACTATGTTCTGAGGCAGTGAGTTATAAATTAAAGGCGCCATGTACACACAACTTCGTCTACACATCTCAAG